CTCACCTATTTTGGTCATGTTGTAAGAAGGGACCATTCCCTGGAGAAGGATGTCATGCTTGGTGGGGTGGAGGGTTGACGAAAGAGGGGGAGGCCTTCAACAAGATGGATTGACACGGAGGCTGCGATGATGGGCTCAAGTATAGCAGGGATTGTGGGGCTGGCACGGGATCGGGCAGTGTTTCATTCTGTTGTGCACGGGGTCGCTATGAGTTGGAAATGACTCAACGGCACTTAACAACAACAAGGCAATAGCAAAGTACATCCCTTTTTCCCTTCATAGTGATTTGTTCTAAGAATTGGATTTAGGATTCACTGCTTCCTAAATCAGGGTCTGATGGAAAACATGTTGTTGTGGAATTAGATTATGTTGCACTTCAGGTATTTTTCTACCTGTCAGTTGTTGGTGTGTGCCAATGAGTCAATTTTGACTTATAATGACCACGTGGGGCAGAGTAGAACTGTCTAATAGGGGTTTCTAGGCCACAATTTTTATGCAAACAGATTTCCAGGGCTTTTTTCTCACAGAGGTGCCGAGTGCTTAAACATTGCACCACCAAGGCAAATGACAGTCACTCATTACATCATATTTGTGTAGGAGATATTGAAGACTTTCATGGAAGCTCAATTCACTTGAGGATGGGGGTTCTAGGGACCCTAAGTAACTATAAATGAACAGGCAATTACAAAGTAATCCAGTATTTTACAACAGTCGTTTTATTTTTGGCAATGTAATGCTGGAATGCACTGTGAATCTTTTTTATGTGGTCTTTCTCTGATATTCTGCCTTTCTTCTCTCATTACAGATGTCATATACTTGCCACCTAAAATTCTGACAAGTGTTGGATCTAATGTTTCTTTTCATTGCATTTATAAAAATGAAAACAAGATTGTTTCTGCCAAAAAGATCGTTTGGTGGATGAATTTGGCTGAGAAAATTCCTGAAAGCCAGTATAATATTGTGAATGACCATGTTAGCAAAGTTACTCTTCCCAATTTAAATGCAACCAAAACTCGAGGAAAATTCACCTATAATGCAGTGTACTGCTGCAACGAGCATGAGTGCCACCATCGCTATGCTGAGTTATATGTGATTGGTAAGGATACTGAGGTTTTGTTCATTTTGGTCCACAAGTTACATTATCGTTATGGACTCTTACTGGAGGCCCATTTAAGATGTAAGGAAAATTTTTTTTCATTCAAATATTTTTGGTGTTTTGGCTTTATATTAATATTTTAATGTGTTTTAAATAGATGTCAATATCAATATATCATGTGAAACTGATGGGTACTTAACTAAAATGACTTGCAGATGGTCAACCAATCCAATCCAATCACTTGTGGGAAGTACTTTGCAGTTGAGGTATCATCGGTATGTACTATTTTTTACTGTTTTATTTTTCTGGGTCAGAGTGAGATAAAATTTTCTGTAGATATATTGCTATGGTAATATTTTGGCATATTTTCACCCTGAAAGAGGAAGGTCGAATATACTTAACTGGAAAATTTTGGCAGGATTAAATAAATTGGTTATTCTTGAGAAAGAGTCACACTTGAGGCAAACGATGTCATTTGTTTTTTAACAAAAGTTGTTTTTCTGGTAAACAATTAAATCTCCACAATTTCATTTTAACTCTTGAATCAAATACAAGAAAAAATTAATTTATATACATTTTAATTTGATTTATAAAATTGACTAAATGAGAATATGGAGGATCATAAAAGCTTAATATTTTTGGCTAAAGATTAATGTGCCAAAAAGCTAGATAGAAGTAGGGACACAGAGATTGTAAGAGATCATAGAAATGTTGTTTTAGAGCTAAGTGAAGTTTTGAACAAAGAAAGAATTACTGTTGAATGGGAAGAAATATTCTAATAAAGGGTAATTAGTGCTTATTTATTATCATTCTTCTCTGTTTTAAAAAGAGTTCAAAGCATCTTCCTATAGCATTTCCTTCCCTCTGCAAAGAGTTTTATCTGAAATAATATCACCCTTGATTAGGAGAAGATAGATCCATATTTTAATATTATTTTTAAGATATCCTATAATAATTTTGAAGTATATATAATGCTTTCAAACACTATACCCTGGTATATTTGACTTTGAGATTTTCAATTTGTACTTGTGTTCATTCATTCTTAAAATCTAATTTTTTCTACTTGAATAATAAATCTCCACCCCTAAATAGTATGGAGTGAATTCTGTTCCTAATGTTACCAGTCTTTCTTCTGAAAGAATTGGCCAGGGAAAACCTTATGAATAGCAAAGAAACACTGTTTGGTACATTACCGTGCAACTTTAGGAAT